TAAATTTACCTTTGAAAGATCTTCTTGTCAGCCGAACTTCCTCCACAAACGGTCCGCCATTGTTGACAGGCAGAGTCGGTGCCCATGCCCGTTTCAACGCCCTCCCTCCTTCCGCCCTGCGACTAGCTTCCAGACCTAGCGCGTTCATCGATCGCAAGCTGATCGAAATCAATCTTCTCCTGAGTGCTTCCAGCGTTCCCTTTTCTATGCAAATCGCCAAGACCTAAATGACTTTTGATTGTGATGGCTGCTTGTCAACTTAAACATTGCGCTTGATATCAAAAACAAATGACTAGACAAGCGAAACAAATGACTAGACAAGCGAAACAAATGACTAGACATAGAACGCAAGGGTCTTGGTGTAATGAAAATCAACTTGATGTATAAAAAGTACTGCTTGATCATGAAAAAATGCAACTTGAAGTTTTGTCACGTTCGGGCTAGCATAAAATAAATAAAAAAGATCTTAAAAAATAAAATAAAATATCCTTAGTGAGCGGGGCTGATGAATTGAACCGAATCGCTCATTATAAATGCGAGGTCAATATATAGTTATTAGACACCACTCATGCGGGTTATTCTATTTTATTTTATTTATTTTATTTTATTTTCATTTTATTTATTTAGTAAAATGGGGGACATTAAACCTGTTGAATTATTCGTATAAGTGTAGGGGAAATTGTCTCCCGGTTCAACAGCCTATCCCGATTTGGAGGCATAATACTAATCTACCGACAATAGCGCAGCGTGCAAATGGCGTCATAAAAACGAGGACAAAGGTGAAACACAGACAAACAAACAGTATAATTTACTTTCAGCAGATAATTTTCAAAGCCGATCGATTATTATTAGTATTATTTATAAAGAGGGCTATAGCAAAAATAAAGTCTTGTGAATAACAACAAAGAAGACCGTGTCAATTGATAAATAACTACACTTAGTTCCCTATGTCCAATATGTCAGTCATAGACAATGTCACCAGATGATGAGCTTTATCCTCAGGAATGTGGGTTCCCCGCTGTGATCTACAGTCTGAACGCTAGCCTCCGTGGCGGCTCCAGGCTATGCGGACACTCCAACCATGAACACAAGGCTTTTTTGATATTTTTTCGCAACTATCCAATCGCAGCTCTCGAGCTCTGTAGAAACAAAGGAATCAAACATTTTTAGCCTCCTGCGCAGCCGCTGTGAGGCGCTTCAGGTTCCCGTTAGACCGCAATTTTAAAATCTTGATTATAATCTGCACTAGTGATCACTGATTGTTTTCAAACTGCACTGGAACCCATTTGATTTCCTATACAAAGTAGATATATTTTGATGAAGTCTCGCTTTCCATAACGTTACCTTAGGCTAGGCCACATATCGCTAATACGCCAGCTGAGTTCGTTGCGTTCCCCCACTGAAAGGGATTGCAGCTCAACTATTGTTTAGCATTTTCGTAACAGGGGCTGAGTACAATGTAGATTTCTCGTGTTTATTGAGCTAGAATCCCAAAATAAGTTCAACTAGTAGCCTTTAAGATCAATTTAAAGAAAAAAGAATTCGTATTCACAGATTCTCTTGGCAGAATCGTGGAAAATGCTAATCAAAATATGATGTTAAATCCTCAATTCTGATTGGTTGACCTTGAGTTTGTTCTGGAAGGTCACTCAGCTGGCGAGTTTGGTTCGATTGACAATTTTATGACAGCAATGAACAACTGAACAACTGAAGTATAATCCTAGAAACCGTCAATCAAACATAATCGGCTAATCTTATGCTGCTTCCTCAACCCGCCCTTAGAGGTACATTGTACCAATTTCCATACTCCATACGAAATTCTACAAATTAAGCCTTGGATTGTTTCTTCAATTTCTCTCGATGGTACTTTGAATAATCAACTTCATTTAACACAAATTTTTGGCAATAATTTTTCAGTGCCTTGGTAACATTTGCTTTTACCTGGTATCCTCGGACATACTTTTTTCTATAAGCAAGTGTCTTTCTAGARCCTTTTTCTAGACAGACATCTTGGAGTTGCTTTAACTCTGAACGAAATATTTCTAAGTCTTCATAAAAATCCGGTCCCTCTGAATGAATTCTTTTCCAAAGTGTAGCATTAAAGTGAGAGTATAGCATATCATCTGCTTTGTTCCATCTTCGAATCTTACTTTTCAAGTCGTCAGTGATCACCTCTTTATTCCTTTCTATTTTTAGTCGTTCCATTTGTTTGACGTACAAAATATCTTTCAAATCCCAACAAAATAACCGCTTCATAAGGACAAGGGATTCGTCAAAATGCTCCAAAATCAAGACCAAATCAAACTCGCTATCTAGAAAGTCGATGTAGTTTTTCACGGCTGTGATGTTTTCGTAATACTCCATCTCTAATCCCAGATCAAACGACTGTGGATTCCTAGCTAACGCGGATGCTGTATAAAAGCTTTTCTTTATCAGCTCTCGCAATTTTACCAAAGAAATATTTCGACTTAAAAAACGACCCATTGTCGTACGGCTCTCTTTCTTTAGCCTTAAAACACCATCCAAATTAAAAAAGTAAAAAACAGATTCATAGTTGGATACAGGCTCTCTCAGGAGCGTGATGTACTTAGCTCTTGTTTTGGGCAGTAAAATATTCATAGGTATCTTATTGAAGCGAGCATGGTTACAAAGGATGTTAGGGAAGTTATTTAAGGGTGCAATAAAGTTTAATTGGAACTTGTAAGGCCAGTAGAAGGTGTAGACCTCGTCTTGTGCTGGTATGACCACATTTAATTCTCTACTGTCGGCATATCGATTCATGATGTTCGTGAGTGTACTGCTGCCTGTTTTATGTGTCTTTAGGAACATGATGTCCTTAACTGGTCGAGTACATTGAACCTGAAGGTGGTTGGACAGTAGACCACTGAAAAGAAAGACAATAGAAGGATAGTGACTGAGTAATGGTGGCTGAGGGGAGGCTGGGGTTCAAGGTAGAAGCATTAAATGTAAATAGTGGGAAAATTCAGGATTGAAAGAGACGAAGATATGGATAGGATTGAAGGGAACGGTAAGATAAGGGAAGAAAGGAAGAAAAAGGACATCAAGAAATTGAAAGAGAAAAGGTATCAAGGGAAGGGATGGAAAAAGGAGATGGAAAAATATTTTAAGAAAAGTTCAAAAGTCCTATTTAGCATCAAGAAAAACAAAAAGGTAGTAATTTAAAAACCTCCAGTTGATAATCAAGTACCACTCATAATAGTTAATAGAGTATTAAATGTTTTCAATGGATTTTCCTAGCTCTTAAGATGTGTTAATCATATCAATCTCGTTCTAAATGCAGGCACCACTGTGACGCGAAGGGGCCTATTATGTTAAAAAATACTAAGATTTTTACATTTTATTCATTTTAATTGTCCTAAATTAGAATTCTGTGGATAAAATTGGCTAATATATATATATAAAGAGGCAAATAGAGTGATTTTCCTCATAGTGTGAAATAATTAGTATACTAATAGAGCTAGTATACCTTATAAGTTTCCATTGTTTTAATTTATGTCGGTTTGACTTTTATGAACTGAGTACTAGAAAGTGTCTCGAGGCCTGAGAAAAATCCCCCTAATTGCCTTAGCTTCAACACTATTATTTTGTCGAGTGTACTATAAATCTATAGAATCGCAGTATATAAGTACATTTCCTATACTAGAATAGGTACAAGTGATGCTTTGAGTGTTCTTGTATAATTGTACGATCGAGTCTTATAGTAAAAATTAAAAAAATGAATATGAAGACTAAAATAGATGGTATATGGTTCTGGACAGAAGACCTCGAAAATCGACGAAGAGAAGATAGGAGACTCCATGTACAACGGCTATATTTATATCATATAATAGAGAGCAACTTCTCCCCCTATATATCAAAATCAATATAAATGAATGAATGTAAATTATTTATAAATTATGATGAAATAAAGAAAGTTGGAAAAAAAAAAAGCTAGGAGAGTCTGCCCATTTTTTTTAAAGACTAAAGACAAGATCCAAACATATATACAGCTATTTTAAAAAGGCTGGTAAAGGTTTTGTTGCAAGTTGCATAAGCTCGAAATGCACTATGAGCGATGTGAATGTCACAAAAATATGGAATTTTCTCGAACTGTGTCTGCGAGTTTTCCCTGCATATTTTCTACTGTGCTGACATTATTTACATGACTATAAAACATTTCAAGCTTAGTAAGAAACAGCAACATTTCAACAAAACCTTCATTTACCTTTTTTTGAAATAGCTATAATATACAATAACAAGACTACTGTCATATAGCATGTTCATTGCCTAGTTCAATCTGTTGTTGTGAAATTCAAAACGGTTTTGTATTTTCTAAAATTAAACTGTTACTTTCAGCCTGCTTACTCTGCTGTTAACTGTACAAATAGATGTAATGTGATTCAAGAAATTCAACAAATGTCTAAACATTACTGGATAAATATACTTTTTTGATGTCTCAGATTTGGATTGTTCAGAAAACGTACACTCTTTTTTTAAAACAGCCCAAGGGTAAAAGTCTCGTTAGTGTTGTGTCAACACTTCATTCGAGAAAAGAGCTCTCAAATTAGCACACGCCTGTATGATTAAAGTGGTGCCGGCCTAACCGATCACTTTACTATTTCTACCTCTTTTTAAATCCTAAAATCATCTGCTGCTATTTGATTTTAGAATCACTTACTCAGGATTAGCCTTTTTCAGCATCAAAATACGGCAAATGTAAAGAATGCACAACTTCAGCAGCAACTGACAAACACTTTGAATTTCCACGGACCTTCACTGAAATACTTGTCATAAAATAAACCGACTGGCAAATTCTGATCAACAATAAAATTTAAATTTGAAGTACAAAATTGTACACAAGGTTTTCGAACCCAATAATCTGAAGAAATTAACTTACGTCTTAAAAAATATCTCTCGAGGATGCCTGGACTTGTTCACCAAGTAAAATTGTATTAACATTGTGACAGCACAAAAAAGGACAAGTAAAAACAGTAGTAAAACCCTCCTCTTATTGGTAGTGTTCAACAAGATTGACATCATGCTCGGCTATTAGACCTAATGCCTGGCACCGTCAAGATCGTTCATATACAGATAGCAAAAATTGAGCCAAACTTTGTGGATCGACTTGGTTGACTGCAATTAGCTCTCACTAATCATGGTGGGTTCCAAGTCTATAAATCATGCCGCCAACTGGATCAGTAACTTTGTCTAAGCCAATAGCAAGGAAGAAGAAAATAAATTCTTCTATGCATGCGCATTTACAAGCTACTTCCGACAACATTGACTTTCTGAGCCTTCATAGCAAGAAGAATGACGGCTCAGATAAAGCCAATGTTGTCGGTAGCTTGAAAATACGCATGCGTACAAGGATTTCCTTGGTGGTCTTCCTTGCTATTGGCTCAGACGAAGTTACTGCTACTGTAGTCATAATGTATAGACTTGAAACCCACTATGATTACTGAGAGCAAAGTGCAGTCAACCAAGTCGATTCACAAAGTTTGGCTCAAACTTTTGCTATCTGTATAGTGAACGATCTTGACAGTGCTAGACATTAGGTCTAATAGCCGAGCATAATGTATATTTTCAAATATTTTTCATTGTATAAACTATTACTAGTTACACTACTTAATTAAAACGAATATCTTGATTTCATTGATTTCAGTGTTTTTTTTTTCTGGTGGAAGGGGTGTTAGTTGAAAAAATTCATTTGAAATTTTTAAAATCGTTGCTGACAAGCACGAGCCATTSGGAGGCRAAGAATGTRGTCTTCTTTAATCCTTCCTAAAGTATAATACTTTGGGAAAGATTAAAAAAGAGTACATGAGCGGTAAATGAACATTCTTCCCCTCCGAGCTCGTACTTGTCAGCCATGACAGAACAATACTACAGTAGAATACGCCAGCGCTGCTATAAAAAATCATAGCTTCTCTGATCAAAACTAATGGCATTCATATCTATGGGATCCCTGTGTCTTAATGTAAGATGACACCAAATATTCAAGTAAACCATTTGCAAGATATATCTTAAAGACGCCAATAATCATAACACAAAGACCGATTTTTCTCCGTTTTGTTGTTGTAAATAGTGCTATGAAATCTAGGAATAAGAGTGTTCCTTGGTACATTATAGCTATARCAAACCAATACTTGTCATGCCAACTTTGAATCACACCATTCAGAATGTATTTTTGGTTCTACTAATCGTGTCTGGTGCTATAACGTTGTGGCAAATGTCTTCCAAAGGACAGATTTCATTTATTCACTGGCAAACTCATATTTCAAGGTATTTATGATTGAATTTACTTTTATTTTTCCACTGAAGTCTAGATAATTACTCTGTTTACTAGTCTGCTCACATCAAGGGTATTTGACTTGCTCGTTTGTACCGTTTCTTCTTTGATGTAAACTACAATCACTCATGGTTGTGCTATAAATTGTTTATTCAAATTAACCTTCGGAAATAAATTTAAGAACAATAATCTACACTTTGATTTTCCTTTACTTCTTTCTTTTCAAAATTGAGTGAAATTAACGGTTTATATTAGCTTTACGAGTCGATAAAAATGCAGTATAATGTTTTATAAAAACATACACGGTCGTCAAACTGAACATTAAAGTTGTTTTGCCTTTCTTCTCTTCAACTAACTTATGCTTGGTTATGGAGTTGTAATTATAAATATAAATCATAAATACAAACACAAAACAACAAGATACCATGTAAAACATATGCATTGTAGAGATCATCAGAGTTGAGAACGCATGTTTGTTTGTTCTAAAGTCAATCATTAACTCACATTTCTGGCGGGCACAGGAAGCCCAAAATTGGCGGGAAAACACTTTGCCTTCAATCAACTACGTACTCTGAACAATTTAAAAGTGATCAGACTAAAAACGATCTCCTAATAAGAAAATTAACCAGAAACTTTAGAAAATTATTGCAGTGATATGTTTTCGTTAGATTTCCTAAGCTTACCGCATAACCCCTCCCCTGGGCCCCTGTGAAAAATCCTCGAGTCTGCATAGTTGTGCCTGTGGTGCCCTGCGGTGGTGATTTTGTCAGAGAGGAATTTGTTAGTTAAAGTTTTCCGTCAAGATTATTCAGCTTTGAAAACATGAATCGTTCGCGGAGAGGAATAAATGCTAAGCGACTTCTATCTGTATGCTGCATATTGGTTATTTTGTTTGTCATGGTCGAAGTTTTTGTCTTCATTGATTCRACTCAACGAAGAAGACAAGTTGGTCAAAGTTCAAGGAAACGACTTCTGAATCAAACACCRTTCTTCATGCTCAAGTAAGGGAAAAATAAGAACTGAATACGAACTAAATGAAAGCATCTATGTTAAATTATAAATCCATTCATTTGTATCTTGTTTTTGTGCTTTTAAAACTTAAAAGTTTTTAAAACGGCTTACCTCATTGAACAAAAAACGTTAGAGCTTCATCTTGACATAATTTCAGTTCTTTTCGACGTCTTGTTCGACCGTTTTTGTYCAATTTTCCATTAAAATGTCTTTCATTCATGACCACAGGTTCACCAACATTTTACGAAAATGGTTTATCTTGCTCCACTTGTAGGAAATTATTTGAAAAGAAGCTTGACTTTTCTCTTTTCTATCAGAATATTAAAAKCGTCCCGCCATTTTCAACTCCAGCTTCGTCTCAAAACTCAGAAAGCCATTCTAGTGTTTTCTCGAATTCTGATTGGTTGATCCTAACTATTCTTGCTTTTGATTGGTCGTATTTTAGAATAAGGAAAATAGCCTTGTGTGAATGGAAATATATCTCTCTATATTTTTGTTTTTAATCATTTTTTTAGTTAGTTATTTAGTTAGTCATAATTTTATTCATATATTCAGGTATTTATTTGTTTGTCGTTTGTTTTTTACATCTGGGAGAAGCTATGCTTTTAGTATTTTTTATAATGCCTTTCAATATATCTCTATACGTACTACCTTTCTTCTTTTGCTCGCAGTGAAACAGAGGAGGACAGAGTAATACGACAAGAAGATATGCCAGAAAAACCAACTTCTACAAAGTGTTCTCCCATAAACAAAGTTCTCTTTCTTAAGACTCACAAAACCGGAAGCAGTACCGTTACTAACATTATCAATCGCTATGGCATCAAAAAGGACTTGACTTTTGCTCTACCAAAAAACAAAATATCATTTGGCTGGCCTAAACGGTTGAAAATAGAAACAGTTGTACCGACGTATCACAAACCAGATCTTTTATGCAACCATGCGAGATACAATAGACTTTCCATGCATTTTCTTTTCCCAAAGGAAACCACCGCGTATATAACAATCTTACGCGATCCTGTGGCACAATACGAATCGGTTTTCAATTACATGAAGTTATGGGAAGGGCTGAATATCCCAGGATCGGACAGTATGGAAATACTGGAAAAATATCTTCAAAATGTATCGACATTTCGTTCGGCAAGGATGGATAGCAAGTTGGCTTCTTGTCTGTTGAGAAATCCCATGTTCTTTGATCTTGGTCTTGATTTTGTATACTTCCAAGATATGTCCGCTGTTTGGAAATATATACAGTTTCTTGAGTCCGAATTTACTCTGGTAATGATCATGGAACATTTTGATGAATCGGTCGTTTTGTTGAAAAGACTTCTGTGTTGGGAGTTAGAAGATGTTGTATACTTAAAGCAGAATGAAAGACAGAACAAAGACAAGCGAAATGTTTCAGAAAAACTCAAACGAAATATTCGAAGCTGGAACCAGGCAGATGGAATGCTTTATCAAGCTTTTAATAAAACTCTATGGAAAAAGATAGCCGCTCAGGGACCTGGATTCTACGAAGATTTGGCGCGCTTTCGCAAGCTTCAGAAAGAGTTGTTTGAGAAATGCGTCAAGTCCTCAGCACCAGCCAAGGCATATTCAGGAAAATATGTGAAAGGATATAAACTGAAGGATAACCTGCCTCCTGTGACCAAAAAATATTGTAGTGATATGATCAAAAATGAACTTTCCTTTATGACAGACAATATGGAACGACAAAAGCAGATGCTGAATGTTTACAATGATCAAGGAGATTTTAGTTACTTGTATGATTTGGATAATAACTGGGATAGTGGAAAGGACTTTCTCCATCATCCAGAGCAGTGAGAAGCCAGCACCAAGCATCAACCACAGGTAGCCCAAGGGCTGCATATACGAATATGAAAAAAATGAGGGCTTCATGTGGACATCAATGAACCACAGTTAGCCAAGAGAGGCTGATAAGGCATGCGAACAAATCATCTTTGGGAAGTATCTAGACCACAGTTTGATCCACGGTAACATCTTCAAGGTTTGTCTCTTTTTAGAATAGTACATTTACTGTGGTTTTCAATATTCTCCGTACACGCTGAAATTTGGGTTTTCACTGCCTTCAATCAAAGATAATCAGTCGTAACTTTTTATGTTGTTGACTGGCGGCAGCGAAAAACCTATTTCACAAGACAAGCTGTTGAAATAAATTTAAAAAATCGCAGTAATGGTTTTTGTTAATTTGCTTTTGAAAATGCGTTTATAAATTCTTTCCTATTTTGCAACATTACTTTTCTAAACGAACGAGACAATGTTAAACAATGTTAAACAATATTTTCATATATTCATATCATATTTATACTTGTAATTTCGACGTTCTAACCGCATATTAAAAGGAAAGAAATACCTTAATATGCTTTGTTTTTTGTTGTTTTTTTTTTGCGTTTTGTCCATCAATCCGTCTCTCTCATTCTTTCTCTTTGTGTCTTTTTTCATAATCTCTTGAAACAGACAGGACAGTTTTCAAGAATGTACTTAGTATCTTAGATGTTGTCAATTATCCCTAATAGTTTCAAATCCATTTACCGATGTACATCAATGTATGTAGTACCGATGTATAAATAGAGGAGACTTTGATAACAACCTTATTTGTAAGACGCTAACCGGGTGTCCATTCCTCTGACCCAATAAGAGCAACAGTGATTCCAGTCTTTAATCTTTAATTCCCTCAGGCCAAGAATGCAAAGAGTGCCTCTTCTTTGGTGAGAAGAGAGCGGGAAACTTTGACTTTCGACAAAAGGTACACGCGTCTGCCGGAACTACCGAAAATATTTCCACACTAAACCCAATTTTCACAAAGCTGTATTTTTGGTCAGCGTTCGTGAAATTCCCAGTCACTTAAAGCTAACTCATTTTCCCTATATGGTCTTTAAGGAGTTTGAATCGCGCGCAATTTTATTTTTTCCAATTTCCGATTTTTCTCTATTTTCTTGCGTTGAAAACTTTGATTTTAATAAAATAGACATAAGTACAAACCTCAAACAAAGAGCAATAAACTGGTATGAATTCTAAAAGAGTGCACGCACTAAACCCGTGAATAATAGACTATTAGGTACTAATTCAGTAGTAATTCATACAGAATCCTTTGTTTTCTATTGTTTGATTATAACTATTTAGTACTGAAAATTAGTTGTTTTTTTTTCACGGGTTTAGTGCGAGCACTCTATCAAAAGACCTTAAATAATTATCCGGCAAAGTTAGATGGGTTTAAAATACAGAATTTTAGGATTTTGTAGAAATTAAATTACGTTTTACAAAATGTCTGTCTCGGATGCCTGGACTTGTTCACCAAGTACAATTGTATTAACATTGTGACAGCACAAAAAAAGACAAGTAAAAACAGTAGCAAAACCATCCTCTTGTTGGTAATGTTTAACAGGGATGACATTATCGCTAAATGATATTCATCCGTTTGTCTCACGACTGAGGGTAATTTTTAGAAAGGACCGCGACGTTTCGACTGCAAGCTGCTCGTAGTCATTCATCAAGCGATGGAGCTGACCTGATTTGCAAACTTTGTTGATCTGGAAGGTCACTCAGCTGGCGAGTTTGGTTCGATTAACAATTTTATGACAGCAATGAACAAGCAAGATTAAATCCTCTACCACAACTGAAGTATAATCCTAGAAACCGTCAATCAAACATAATTGGCTTAAAATCTTGTGCTGCTTCCTCATCCCGCCCTTCGAAGTACGTTGCACCAATTTCCATACTTCTTACAACTTCTACATACTCAGGCCTTGTTTCGTTCAATTTCTTTCGATGGTACTATAAATAATCATTTTCATTTAACACGAATTTTTGGCAATAATTTTTCAGTGCTTTGGTAACATTTGCTTTTACCAGGTATCCTCGAACATACGTTTTTCTATAAGCAAGTGTCTTTCTAGAACCTTTTTCTAGACAGGCATCTTGGAGTTGCTTTAACACTAAACGAAATATTTCTAAGTCTTCATAAAAATCCGGTCCCTCTGAATGAATTCTTTTCCAAAGTGTAGCATTAAAGTGAGAGTAAAGCATATCATCCGCTTTGTTCCAACTTCGAATCTTGCTTTTCAAGTCGTCAGTGATCACCTCTTTATTCCTTTCTATCTTATGTCGTTCCATTTGTTTGACATGTGAATACATGTGAATAAACCGACTGGCAAATTCTGATCAACAGAAAATTCAAAGCTGGAGTATTAAATAAAGATAAATGAGCACCAAAATTGGTAACCAACAAGTGTTGTGTAGTGTTGTTAGTGTAGTCCTGCATACTCTCCTCTGTGTAGTTGACATTATTTTATGGCGTATTAAACATTTCAAGTCGTTAGTAAGAATCTGCAACATAGCATGCAACGCTTCAACCTTTTTTTTGAGCACACAGATTGTAAAAATAGCTTTCAGACTCAGACAAACATTCCTTCTAACCCTGTCGAGTGTTATACCAACCGATTTTATTATTTTTCACTTGAAGTTAGAATAATAACCCAATAACAAAGATCTACTGAGATGGGCTATGAACATTTTCTGCTGAACGTAAAGTGTATGTCTTCGTCTGTATTTTCGCCTTCGTCTTTGTTCAACTTAATGACTTCACCTGCGCGCTGTGCTACTAACAAGACTTATGTTATACAGTATGTTCTTTGCCCAGTTCAATCTTCTTTGTGTGAAATCTAGAAGTCAAATATCAATTTTTTTTGTGTTTCCTTAAACTAAAACTGCTACTAATACGGCCTGTTTACTCTGCCGTTAAATGTTAGATCTAATGTGATTCAACAAATGTCTAAGCTTTACTGGATAAATATACTTTTTTGATGTCAGTATATGTTCTCAGATTCGGATTATTCAGAAAACACTCTTTTCTTAAAACAGCCCGAGGGTGGACGTCTCGTTAGTGTTGTGCCAACACTTCATTCGAGAAAAGAGCTCTCAAAGTAGCACACGTCTGTATGATTAGTATCTGTATATGAACGATCTTGACGGTGCCAGGCATTAGGTCTAATAGCCGAGCATGATGTCAATCCTGTTGAACACTACCAACAAGAGGATGGTTTTACTACTGTGTTTACTTGTCCTTTTTTGTGCTGTCACAATGTTAATACAATTGTACTTGGTGAACAAGTCCAGGCATCCGAGACAGACATTTTGTAAGACGTAAGTTATCAAAATCCTCGTCTACAATTTTGTGTGTTAAACCCATTTAACTTTGCACGATAGATAGTTGGTTACCAATTTTGGTGCTCATTTATCTTTATTTAATACTCCAAAAACGTCGAGCCTCTGGGACCAGGGTAACATTTAGAACGAGATTGATATGATTAACACATCTTAAGAGCTAAGAAAATCCATTGAAAAAATTTAATACTCTATTAATTATTATGAGTGGTACTTGATTATCAACTGGAGGTTTTTAAATTACTACCTTTTTGTTTTTCTTGATGCTAAATAGGATTTTTGAACTTTTCTTAAAATATTTTTCCATCTCCTTTTTCCATCCCTTCCCTTGATAYCTTTTCTCTTTCAATTTCTTGATGTCCTTTTTCTTCCTTTCTTCCCTTATCTTACCGTTCCCTTCAATCCTATCCATATCTTCGTCTCTTTCAATCCCGAATTTTCCCACTATTTACATTTAATGCTTCTACGTTGAACCCCAGCCTCCCCTCAGCCACCATTACTCAGTCACTATCCTTCTATTGTCTTTCTTTTCAGTGGTCTACTGTCCAATCACCTTCAGGTTCAATGTACTCGACCAGTTAAGGACATCATGTTCCTAAAGACACATAAAACAGGCAGCAGTACACTCACGAACATCATGAATCGATATGCCGACAGTAGAGAATTAAATGTGGTCATACCAGCACAAGACGAGGTCTACACCTTCTACTGGCCTTACAAGTTCCAATTAAACTTTATTGCACCCTTAAATAACTTCCCTAACATCCTTTGTAACCATGCTCGCTTCAATAAGATACCTATGAATATTTTACTGTCCAAAACAAGAGCTAAGTACATCACGCTCCTGAGGGAGCCTTTATCCAACTATGAATCTGTTTTTTACTTTTTTAATTTGGATGAAGTTTTAAAGCTAAAGAATGAGAGCCGTACGACAATGGGTCGTTTTTTAAGTCGAAATATTTCTTTGGTAAAATTGCGAGAGCTGATAAAGAAAAGCTTTCGAACAGCATGGTTAGCTAGGAATCCACAGTCGTTTGATCTGGGATTAGAGATGGAGTATTACAAAAACATCACAGCCGTGAAAAACTACATCGACTTTCTAGATAGCGAGTTTGATTTGGTCTTGATTTTGGAGCATTTTGACGAATCCCTTGTCCTTATGAAGCGGTTATTTTGTTGGGATTTGAAAGATATTTTATACGTCAAACAAATGGAACGACATAAGATAGAAAGGAATAAAGAGGTGATCACTGACGACTTGAAAAGTAAGATTCGAAGATGGAACAAAGCGGATGATATGCTATACTCTCACTTTAATGCTACACTTTGGAAAAGAATTCATTCAGAGGGACCGGATTTTTATGAAGACTTAGAAATATTTCGTTCAGAGTTAAAGCAACTCCAAGATGTCTGTCTAGAAAAAGGYTCTAGAAAGACACTTGCTTATAGAAAAAAGTATGTCCGAGGATACCAGGTAAAAGCAAATGTTACCAAGGCACTGAAAAATTATTGCCAAAAATTTGTGTTAAATGAAGTTGATTACTTAAAGTACCATCGAGAGAAATTGAACGAAACAAGGCTGAGTATGTAGAAGTTGTAAGGAGTATGGAGATTGGTGGAATGTACCTCGAAGGGCGGGATGAGGAAGCAGCACAAGATTTTTAAGCCAATTATATTTGATTGATTTCACTTTTTTCTATAAGGTTTTTAAGAAGATTCACGTTTAAAAGTGTCGTCACGCAACGCTCACTCTCATTAGCTACATTCCCGGAGCCAACTTTCCAAGACTTGCATAAATTGGAGAGTGTGAGCCCTATGAACTAGGTTGTAAATGAGAGATTTGTCTATGAGAAAATGAGCTCTCGTGTTTTAACGTTTTTATACCTTGTAACTAAACGAATTCAGCTAAGCTCACATTGCCGCATAACGGAATCTGGAATGACTGAACTCCGGATTACGGATCCACTTCTATGGGGGATCAGAGTGAACTAAACCAAATATCAATAATATTAATAAATAGATAACTAGATAATTAATTAGATTCTATATCCAGTGTGCCCGATATCGCGGACCATGAACATCTCTTCCTCGAAGCCTTGATATCTCATTGGAGTTGACTGATCTTCTGCCAAGTATATGTGTAATGATGAGTGATGTGACTCCTATTAGCACCACTGCTAGCATGATCCATCCACCTACCTAACAGAAACAAAGAAAAAATAATGATGTCAATAACGTTGATGATAATGATGTTAAATCATAATGATGTTTATGATAATGATGTTGATATATGAAGAGATAACTAGCTAAAAACTAGTGTGAGCTGCGTCGGTGCTTCTAATGAAACAGTAATGATAAAAGGGTAAATTATGCACTGTACAATTCACGGTATAAATAATTTACCTTGATATATGATGGTGATGATGATGGTGATGATGATGATGATGGTGGTGATGATGATGGTGGTGATGATGGTGATGATGGTGGTGATGATGATGATGATGGTGGTGACTATTGATGATGATGATGATAATGATGGTGATGTTGTTATTGATGATGTGCTGATTATGGTGATGATGATGATAGTGATGTTGATGATGTTGATGATGATTTTGATGGTAGTGATGATGATTATGTTACTGATGGTGTCGAAGCGATGATAAAGTTGACGACGGTAATTTCATATCATCATTTCAAAGCACTTGATAGTATTAAGCAACATTTTCCAGGGTGGTATTTATCGATTTCAAACGACGTGCCTTGCGTTAACACAGAAATGTTCACTTGGATCAAGCAAATGGCTTTTGCAGGCCAATAGTCCCCTTCACCGTTCCTTGTGCCATCTTGAAAGGTAGCCATGCCTTTGCATCGTAGCGAGACGAACGGTTAGCTTGCAATGATAGAGACATGTGAATAATTGTCCAAGGTGTTAAAAAAAGGTCTCTATCATTGCATGCTCACCGTTCGTCTCGCTACGATGCAAAGGCACGGGTACCTTTCAAGATGGCGCAAGGAACTGTGAAGTGGACTATTAAACTAATGTGCAGTATTGTTTTCAGTAGCAAAAGTCTGTTGTTCTTAACCCAAGACTAATCAACCAAAACCTTTGAATCAAAGCACTGCTACAACACCACTACTACAACCATTAAAATAAACAATCTGATGCCGATACTTCGATATTTCACAGTAGAATTTCAATACAAGTATGTTAATAGATTATTAATAAATAAAAGAATAAAAAAAAAAAAAAATAATAATAATAATAATAATAATAATAATAATAATAATAATAAAACATTAAAAAATTATAAGAACGTAGTGTTTGAATACATCTATAACTCTACAAGCTATATATTAAAAGACTTTGGATTTCTTGATAAAATAAATACTATTTTTTAAAAAATTATTACGCAAAATAATAATCAAGAAACAAACTTACGTTTAGGTAAAAATCGACCCAACGAGTGACGTAACTACGGCATTCGTCGTTAACACAGCTTGAAATCTTTGTTATCGTCATGTTTAGAGATTTTGAATTTGAAGAATTTTTATTCTTGATTGAATGAATCTTAAACAAAATATCAGAACCATTGTTTTTGCTCCTGTTATTTTCTGTTGCCGTGAGATTTTGAAGTACTTGAGATGATTGGGAAAATTCACAGTTATGTGTGATTGTTGGAGTAATAGAAAACGAAGGATAACTTGTGATGTACACAAAGCTGTTTAGTTTTTGTTTTGGAGTTCTTGATACAATTGACGCGGAAGAAAGGCGTCCATACAACGATAGAAATCCTTGCATTGGTGTAGCTGCTTCAGATATAGATGAAATACTTTTCACATCAGAGGAGCCATGATTTTTAATGTTATGATTTACGATTCCTTGATTTTGCTTGCTCGGTGTTCTTACTGACGGTGTTGGTAACAAAATTATTGCAGAATATTTCATTGTACTATTCTGTGCTACAGACGAAAAGGAGCAAAGAAAAATCGTGCAATATAACATATTGAGCCAACTTGAAGAATTTGGAAATGTTCTCTTAGTTGTAAGCATGATTAGCTATCAACACTGATTGAAATAAACTTGCTTCGCAGAGTTTGGTTCTGAAATCATTAGTATTGCATTATCTGCATCTAAGATGCTGAGACCATTCGTCAAGACGAGCGAGCGCCACTACTAAATCTTGTCCAATTCTGTAAGATACAGACAAGTGTTGTTACATCGATACTGATCGATCGCCAATGGTTTACAATTGTCGATTATGCACGCAGCTCGGTAAAACTCTTTAGATATGCAAATTATTCTAACGCGTAAAATAACCATTCTTCATTGAAATGCAAACACTTCGTACAAAACAAATTAGACCCTAGCAAAGCGAAGTTATCAGAAAAATCTTCTTTATGATTAATTTTGGAGTTCATTTTAAAATGATTTAGATCTGATAACAGTGAAGGCGTCCCCTCGGCTCGTTCTTGGAAAATACCTCTCCAATGAGTTGAGGAGACGGTTTTGTGCCTTCGGTATCTTTTTAGAAAACTATCTATCTTTTGAGTGAGCGAGAGAAAAGGATTATCCTCCCCCACGCCGACCACTCACAATGCTCTTATCTACTCCACATTTGGTCCATTATACTGCGTCTACAATCAATATATCAGTTTTAGATCAGGTATGACCTTTTATACTTAGATGGTTTTTGGACTCAACATAGAGCTGGTTGGCATGGGAGGCTATATCATATCATATTACTAACTTTAGCGAGCTAACTGTCAGAGCAATCTTTTCAACAGTAAGGGAAAATGAAACTGAAAAGCAACAGTCCAGAAAATCTTGGCTACGAAAAAATCGATTTTTTTCTAGAAATAAATAAGATAAAAAGATATTGCCGAACAGAAGGGAAAAGATATAGCAGCCATATTGAAGAGGAAATGAAAGAAAGATATAAAAGAAACGTTATATGGAACTGAAGTCTGACTTGAAGTGTATTTATTTTGAATCATGTCAAAACAAGTCGAAAAATTACATTTATTCATCAAACAACTATTATTGCAAGGTTAAGGTTCTACGAAGAAACTCAAAAATTCATTCACTGTTTTTTTCGGGTAAACAGAAAATTCATAGAAGACTATTGCCAATAAAAAAAATTCGAAGAAACCAGAAGGCTCTTTGCGCTTTTATAGCGGATTATTAAATTGTTCGTTACTAAAAAGCGCATTCGCTGTGTTTTCGACTGAAACAGTTTTAAAGTTTCTCAAGCTTTTTTCTAAAATTTCATTCACTAGACAACTCTGAAATGCTTTCAAAACCTGCAACAGCTCAATATAACTGAGTTGAAAATTATTTTTTCGTGGGATATTATATATAAAGTTGTCCGTATCTTGTCAATGTGGGTGAAGTGTCGTACGTGTTTGTTACTTAGACTGGTCGTTGGTTCTGTCGTTGGTCATCCAATGTCGCGGAGTAAAGGAATCCAATATCTCACATGCTTCAACAAGTGAAAATGCATAGACACTGAGAAATATAAAAATATAACTGAAAAACGAATTATTCAATCAATTTTTCACTAAAAGCATTTTACTAGAACAACAATATACCACTAGCAGTTGAGGGTAGGTAGATACACGCCTGACACCTCGAGCGATACCCGTCTTTGCTTCAAACTACTAAATAATCGCTATAAAAATAATACAACTTGGAATACTGAGCTGATAACCAATATGAAATCAGCGAGAAGCCTTAAGTCTAGGTTCTCTAAAAATAGGAATATTTTTTATCAATAAAAGTGAGAAAAAAAAAAAAAAACCTGTAGGATTTCCAAGGAAAAAAGCCGGAGTATCAAAAGCAGGTGGAAGATCTGCTTGTGGAACAAGTCAAAAATGCGAACATGATCAATAATTCACCACGCTACAAACACGAACAATACAAGCTAATACAAGTTTTACAAATTTAGCAATTTCTAAAGAATTCCATGGATTATTGGCCAGCCTCATAGTGAAAGAAGAAGAGCTGTTTTGGGATGCAAGAAGAGACGAATCACTGGATAAAAAACTTAGGAATTTGTCGAAGTTGGCAAAGATGTTCGCATAGCTGACGATTGATCATGTGAACAGTATGTTTATCCACTTAAGGTCGATCTTTGTCGTCTTGATTTGTGCAGCGATTATTTTGTATTGTAGTGTCAGCTACACTAGAGAAAGATCGCTAAGAAATTGTTTGGATCAACAGCGGTAAGTCGTATTCACTATATAACATGAATTAGCTCGTTTATCCCTGTAATCACTCACCAGGGTCGACCTTATTCAATTGAATGCGCCTATAACAGGCTATCTTCCTTGGTGGCATGTGAAAAAATCACTACAAACATTCAAATATCTTAAGGTTTTCAACAATTGAAAAATCAACAGTTCTAAGTCAGTTCTTCGTGGCTACTACAGGCAGACTGGCATACTAGCATAAAACGAAGGCCGGGGGGTCTCTTTGTTATACAACCCATGGAATAATTTCAGCAATTAAACAAGATTCGGAGTATTCTTTTGCTTTAATGATCATATAATTATTTTGAGATTATGATAATAATATTGAAACGATACTGAAATATTAGTACAGGTCGGTGTTTGACGAGAAAAACAATTTGAACACAATTATCCATCAGTGGTGGAAAGGAATCGGAGAATTATTTGACAATCGTTTTGTGGGATATTCCATTTATTGTCATATGTCATTCAAACCCATTTGCATAACTAGTATTCATGATATGAGATGCATCAGTGTTTGTATAGTGACGGTATAAACATCATCACTATTGCCATCTTCATCAAGCTCCATCATTAATTATTATCGTAATCGCCATCATTATCATCAATCACCATCATCATTATAATCTAACACTATTATCATCATGAATCCGGCCATCAATCACTATCGCCATCATCAATCACTATCACTATCATTATCACCATCGCCACCATGGTCATCACTGTCATCATCCTCGTCATCACCAACGACATCATCATCTTCATCATCCCCACATTTACCATCACTACAATTAATCAACCATCATCACATCATCATCACCACCATTATATATGTTATACACCGTGAATTATATCATTCTTATACTATTATTCTTATCAACATCAACTTCTCTTTTTACGTTTTTATTTATGACCAACATGATTATTAATCTATGTCGTAACTCATTTTTTAGGTTTTCACGAGACACATTATCAACATTGGAACTACCCATCCAAATAGGAAAACAAGCTTCTTCTCAACAACAACAAAGTGCAACAACACTTTTACCCGATAAGATAAATACCCTGCAAAATCCCATAACCACTGAAAAACAAACAAATGGGAAAAGAAAAAATATTGAAAGATGTCGGAGAGTAGATCACGTGTTGTTTTTGAAGACCCACAAGACTGGTGGGAGTACGATTACTAATATCCTTAATAGATATGGCGATAAGTGGAACCTAACATTTGTACTGCCAAAACAAAGGCACCTTTTCACTTTTCTATGGCCGACTAGATTCCGTCTGTCCTACACAGCACCGCTGTACAAAATGAACGCTAATATACTATGTAACCACGCCAGATACAACAGGAAGCCCATGCACTGGTTATTCCCAAAGAACAAATCCAAATACATCACAATACTAAGAGACCCCATTAAACAGTATGAATCAGTCTTCAACTTCATGCATTTTGCAAATCCTTTAGGATTTAACGAGGAGAAGGATCCACTAGGGACATTCTTAAAGTACCCCCCATCTTTCAGAGACACCTATCCTCACATGAAGAAGACCCTTGCTTTACATCTGTTGCGAAACCCAATGATGTTCGATCTGGGACTTGACTTTAGGTACTTCCAGAACCAATCTGCGATAGACAACTACCTCAATTTCCTGGACAAAGAGTTTGACTTGGTCATGATTATGGAGCATTTTGACGAGTCTTTGATTCTCTTGAAGCGGCTCATGTGTTGGTCTTTTGAAGAGATTTTGTACTTCAAGCTGAATGAAAGACAGGACCAGCAAAAGAGAGACAATTTAGCCGAGGTCGTCAAGCACGACATTAAAAGTTGGAATCGAGCGGATTCTCTTCTCTATACGTACTTCAACCAAACACTGTGGAGGAAGATAAAATCCCAGGGAAGCGCTTTCTATAGAGAACTAAAGATATTTCGACGCCTAAATGCAAGAATATCTAGAAAATGCTTAGAGCAGGGAAGTTTTTTAGACGAAGCATACACAGGAGTTTATGTCAAAGGGTATTCCTTAAGGAATGATATACCAGCAACACTTAAAACGAAATGTGAAAATATGAAAAGAAATGAGATATCTTATGTGAAATATTTCAGGAAAAAGATGAGCGACAGGTTGTTGAAGATAGAGGAGCCAGAGGAATATTTAGATGATCCTTTAAATGATTGGAACTTAGCTTCTGACTTTGAACACGTACCGAGCACATCTGGGTATGGTTCAGCTGATTACGTAGGTTCGGGATAGGATAGGGATAGGACCGGAAGAGCATCGGGGTAGCATCGGGGTACGATCGGGATTGGGTCGGGATAGCTAGGATCTGGATATTTTCAAAATCCGAATATTTCTACAGCATAGAAGAGAACGTTTTTATATAAGTTAATACTTCATACTTGAGAATAAATTTGTTGAATGATTCTGTGAAGTACTATCAGGTCTCATTCATATCGTCAGTTGCTGCCAACACACCGGATAACAACGGGAGTGTAAGAATTGATGGTTTTCAACCATTCCCAAGAGAATTAAATAACAAAAGAAACGGCGGCCATGTTGGAGGATATAACAAAAGAATTMATTGACAATTCTTTTGTTAAGTTCCTCCAACATGGCCGCCGTGAAAACCATCACTATAGTCAAGCAAGCTCGTGTACTTAACGCCCTCAGCAAACCTAATCGCTGTATCTTTAAGTAAGAAAGTCGTGTTACCTAACCAGGGTCACCAGTTTGCTTATAGAAGTTATACATTTATTCATGAAATAAAACCATTCTTTTTACGAAACAAGACTTTAGTGACCGAACTGGAAAAGATAAGGATAGGGGTCTGAGTAATAACACCATGTTCACGTGATGGGTCACGTGATTAAATACCATTCTTTTTACAAAACAAGACTTTAGTGACCGAGTTGGAAAAGATGAGGGTTGGGGTCTGAGTAATAACACCGTGTTCACGTGACTAGTCACGTGATTAGCTTTTAAATCACTATAAACCCGGCTTTCAACAGTCACACTAGTGGGAAATTGCTCCTATTTCTATAGACTCGTGATTAAGCTGAAGATCACGTGAATATGGTCACGTGATAAAGTTTATCGCCCATGTTAACATGGTAGTTTTGTACTTTCACGTGATCTGAAAGTGGAATTAATGCACACGTGACCAAAACGCTTTGACATAGCACGTGATTCACATGTAATACATGTCAATCATCATAGCTTTCGCACATCAGTAGTCTTTTAATAATTATGAACCTCTCTGGCCATAATCATCAATAGAACTCACAGGATTATAATATATTACACCGTAGAATAACATAATTTATACAGATTCGTATTCTTTTTGCCATTCTTTGTACTTATCGCGTAACTGCCGTGCAGAGGGTTTGGTGTGAGCCAGCGCTGCCTCCATGTCAGCGTTTGTTACTGGTTCAATCTCCAGTTTAGGTAGAGGTGTCGCACGACCATCAACATTTTCTACAGATACAAATACAAGCTATCAATCGATGTAAAACCAACATTTGTTGCAAACTTGGATTTTCTGACTTCAGAGACTCTTACCCCATTCACACCTAAACGTGTTTAGTTAAACTATGTTTTCATTAGGAAAAAAATTGAGAAACCTACAATATAATGAAACTTTCTAAAATATTGTCAGAGCAAAACAAAGGATAGTTTACATGCATTATTTCACCAAATATAGTGCAGTGTTCGTAGATAGTTTTCCAAACCTGTTTAGTTAAACCACTTTAAAACATGTTTAAGCCTTGGTGTGAATGGGCTATCTTTTATGGTCGTCTTTTATTTAGTAATGTAGGGGGAGGGGGTGGGGGAAGATTTCCCCTTTGTCAGATGTCTGAGAAATTCATTTCAACTGACTTCTTTTATGTGGGTATTTTAACGTATAATCTGTGATCTACTCACCAGGATGATGTCCTTCTAGGATGTCGAATATTTTGCGTACTTTTCTCATGGCTGCTTCTTTACAAAGCAGTTTCATGTCTGAGCCTGAATATCCATCAGTTTTCTAAAACACAACGATAATCTAGTCAGTGAAAATGAAGATTTTATTATCATACCAATACTGTATGGGACAAACAGTGACATTAACAGCTCCCTCCACCCAACTCTACCGCACTTTCCCATCCACTAAGACCCCTTCGTCCCTCACCCATCCTGGGTGATCCCTCTTCCCACCAAACCAGGACTCCCCTGATTCTACCCCAATACCACCTCTCCCTACCCACCCTGGCATAATCTATCCATCTTCCAAGGCTCCTCTTCTCAACCCGATGTGCTCTACCCTTCTCCAAAGCTCCCTCAACCCACCCACCCTTCTTAACCCTTTCCCTTTATCGTCCCTTTTATTTGTGATCATCCAAGAGTTAATGTAAATGATAACCATGTGATAGTAACGCCTGCTGATAAGCGCAAGCGAAAAGTTTCATTACTATTATGAAGTAGCCCGCGAGTACAGTATAATTTCGTACTTTATTCTTGAACAAACTCAACACTGTCAAACAAACATGGCTGCTCTCGAGTCCCGTGCTCCAGAGTCACGTGACTCGCGCCCAGGCTACTACATTAACCTTCAATATTCTCACCTGCGCTAAAGTCTCGTAATCAATCTCTGTACGTATATCAACACCATTTTCATCAGTAGCAGCAATAACAGGCGGTAGATATTGCTTTAACATGGCTTTCCTTGCTTCAGCGATGGGTAAATCGACCAGGATTCTCTTCTCCAGTCTCCGTAGCATTGCGTGGTCCAATTCCCTGGAAAAATTTACAAAGAAACACCAAGAATGAAGCAGAGAAAAGATGAATTTTGATGGCACAAACAAGAATAAATGTTCATTTCATAGACAGATAGAGTAGTTGTCATACGTGATGAGTGCGCAAGTCAATGCATGACACAGCAACCACGGATGACCAAACAAACTGGCGGTCCCGTCTCATTCAGAGACGTTCAAAATAGATACCAACAAGTTCAGTTGTGTCACGCTCCCTAAACAAAGTTCATTTACATTTACTTTTTTACGGCCAAGGCAAGGCAAGTACGACACCATATGAACCAATTACAGCGAGCAAGATCACTTCTTATCCAATCAGAATGATCGGACACTACACCGTCACGATCACGGTCACGTCACGGAACTAACGACTTTTGTTGAACAAATCACAGCGCGCAAGATCACTTCTTACCCAATCAGAATGCTCGGATACTGCACCGTCACGGTAACGGTCACGTTTATTCATAGTTATATAAAATCTGTTTCAAATTGCATGTCATCTTACCAGGGTAAATTAGAAGCTGCTAATAAAAATACCAGATCATCTGATCGTGCAAGACCATCCATCTGAACGAGTAATTCTGTCTTCATGCGACGACTACCTTCATGTTCCGACCTGCGAGTAAACCATATCACGTGAATTCATTACGTACCGTGGATAACCTTATATGGTAAAACAAGATTTGGTACTTACCCTCCCCCTCCCGCTCCTCTTTGTCCCATTAGCGATTCAAGCTCATCTAGGAAAATTGTTGATGGGGCATGGAATCGAGCCAGCTCAAACAAAACCTACGATGGAAGTAAGATTGGTCGATATTAAGTGCATTTTTATAAACAAGAAATAATGTGTGATATGTCGCTAGTGAACGGGAAGGAAGGAAATAAGGAAGGGAGAGAAGGGAGGGAGGGAGGGAAGGAAAGAAGAGAAGGAGTGAAGGA